CACATTAAAGTTAAAAGCAGATACAGTTTCTGAACAGAGTGTATTTTACTTCTCCTTTTCAATTTGGATGTCTTTATTTTTGTCTAATTGTTCTGGCTAGGACCTGCAATACTGTATTGAATAGAAAAGGTCAAAAAGTGTTCCACTTTGTCTTGTTCATGATCACTGAGGAAAAAAGGTTTGTTTTTCACCAGTATGTAAAATGTTAATGGTGGGATTTTCATATATGGCCTTTAGTATTTTGAGGTAGTTTACTTCTGCTCCTAGTTTATTATTTTCTATAATAAAAGGCTGGCAACTTTTGTCAAATGCTTTGTCTGCACCAGTTGACATGATCCTGTTTTTTTATAATTGTTTTGTTAATGCGGTATATCACACTGAGTTTCATATGTTGAATCATCCTTGCATTCCAAGACTATATTCTATTTGGCCCAGGCATATAATCTTTCAAAGTTGCTGAATTCTCTTCACCTTTTTTTCTTTTTTTAACTTCTACATCAATATTTATAAGGGATACTGGTGTGAAATTTTTTTTTCCTGTAGTATTTTGTCTGGCTTTGGTATCAGGGTAATGCTGGCCTCATACCATTTAGAAATGTTGACTCAGCCTTATTTTTGCAAGAGTCTGAGGATCACTGGTGTTAATCACTCTTTAACTGTTTGGCAGAATTAACCCCAAAGCATTTGATCCTAGGCTTTTCTTTACTGGGAGATTTTTGAATATTGATTCAATCTCCTTACTGGTTAAACATGTTCAGGTTTTCTATTTTTTCATAATTTGGTCTTGACGCATTGTATTTTTCTAGGGATTTGTTCTTTTCATCTAGGTTATCCAATTTACTGGCTTACAACTATTCATTATATTGTCTTATAACCCTTTATCTTTATGTGAAACCAATTGCAATGTTCCCTTTTTACTTATTTTAGTAGAGTCCATTTTTCTTTTCAAATAAATTTGGCTTATCAATTTTGTGGACATTTTTCACTAATGTTCTTGTTTTTTCCATTCTCCTTTTTGTTTATATTTGTTCCAATGTTTATTTTTTATCTTGTTAGCTTTGGACTTTGTCCTTCCAATTCCTTGAGTAAATTTAGCTTGTTGATGTGATAGTTTCTTTTTTTTTTTATTTATGTATAGGCCAGAGGTGCATGGGCAGTGAGAGGATTCATCAGAGACAGAA